GCTCAACATGACCAGCGTTTCTTTGAAGCCTTTGAAGATTCGTGGGGGAGCGCGAGCCCGAGCAGTGGCCAAAACGAGAAAGGAGAGAGATTATCCAGAGCCGAAGCTGCCCAAATCCTGTTGCACAGACCCCCTCGAGCTCTACATAAATATAAACGGAATATAAACCGAAGCGTGTAGCATTACTTCCGGGTATAGTGTGTGTTCTGATTGTTCTTCACCTGATCGCTCTTGCTTCAGCAATGCTGTCTATGTGTTATTGTTGGTCTCATCGTTGTCATTGCTGCCTTTTTGTTGCACGATCGCACGTAATTCTGCCGAATTCAGAAAGTAAAGGAGACGCTTAACTCGTAGGATCCAGATTTATGGAACCCTGAACGAGGTACCTGTATTTCCCCCCGTAACAGAGCTCGCGGAAGGGACTCGCTGGATATGGACCTTGTCACGGTGGGCAAGCTGCCTACGATGATCGGCGAATCGAGCTCAGCAGCTTGCTTGTGGCTGGAAGTTGTTTTTCTTTGTTTCAGGTTTTGAGTCTGAGCCTTTTGTGCGGTGGGTTGGTCTGCGGAGGCTTGAAATCAAGAAGAGGCTTTTGGCAAATTTGCCAGGATTCATTTCCACATCCAACCATCGAATAAGCAAGATTTGACGGCTGTTGGGTGAGAAGGCTCACTTGCTCTTCACCCCTTCAAGTGTCGGGCGTAAGGCGGGGTCTTATTGTCTGGGGAGATTGAGGGTGAAGCCATCCAAGCCTTGCCATGAAACTCCAAAGCACTGAACTCAAACTGCGCAAAAAGTTCTCCTTATAGGTAGGTATTGAGAGTCCGAATGTGTTCGCACTGAAACCCCTGAACTCGATGCGCGAGCTTCTGCTCCGAGCCCCTTTTTTAGCATGGCTCAGGTGGCCTTTCGCCCCGCCCCGGCGCTCAAAAGCCACAGCGGCTCCGCCTGGCGACTTCAGAAGCTGGGCCAGGTCGGCTAGGGCCGGGGGTTCAGGGGTTTAGGGGTTTTGGGTTTAGGGGTTTAGGGAGGGTTGCATGGGCGCTGGCCGGCACCTCAGTCCGTGCTGAAAAAGGGTTTAGGGTTTTAGGGTTTAGGGATTTAGGTGAAGTCTGTCTTAAGTCTGCAAAAACCTACTTTCTGGTGGGTTTCTGGGGTAGTCCCCACAGGGCCAGGGACGTGGTTTCTCATGCTCCCATCGGAAGGCGGGTCCAGTGGTAGTCGAGCTTCAGGTTTCCTTTTGACCGAAGATACGCGAGTTTCCGAAAATAAGGGGTAACTCATTTTGGGGTCCTTATAATATGGATCCTACTATTTAGGGTACTACATTAGGGTCCCCTATTTTCGGAAACCGCCGAGGGTTTCCCAAGCGCGGAAGGTGTTCTTGTATCCTGCATTGCGTTCCATGACTGTGGTAAATCCCTGTATTGGGATTCCTAGGTTGGGCGCATAGGTTCAGAGATACGGGCTCATTATCCTTGTGCATGATTTTTTAATTGAAGTTGCCATGGCGAGTGAAGGAGATTGATCCAGAGGGCGTCCAGGATGGTGGCAATCAGCCGCTTGGATGCTACAGAGAAATGGTTTTTCAAAACCTCTGCCGGCTCAAATCCTAAGCCCAGGGCCGAATCTAAAATGTAAAGACGGTTTGATATCCGGGCGCAGCTTTCATCGAGACGAAGCCTTGCCAAGCTCGACAAAGTCGTCCATTGCAACCTCTTGTCCTAGAACCCCAACTCGCATAGCATGAGAACTGTCGCAGAAGCAGGAAAAGCTGCTACTTTGCCAGAGAGAGAGGGAGAAGAGTTGAGGTCTGTGTATATGTGTACACTTTTTGTCACACTAATGATTTTTCCTGGCAGTATGATTCGAAGCATATATCTATACACACACATATATATATATATACACACATTTAATACTGTGTGTTGTTGGTTGCGCAGCTGTAACATGCACTCTTGCAAGTCTTAGTCTGAGCCACGTTGGCGCTCGAGGTACACTCACGGCGTGTGGGGAGGAGCCACAGTCAACACGGCCCATGGCCGGATGACATTGGACTCGTGGGACGCTATCAACATGAATCCGATTACGCCAGACTTCCCGATCGGAGCCTGGGCTGGATGTAGGATCAGGTGCCTACAAGAGAGCTTGGCCTCTTCTCGTCGTTCTCTCATGCTCCCCCGCTCTCGCTCTCTTTGTGTCTCTCTCTCTCTCTCTTGCTCTCTGTCTGTCTCTCTCTCTCTTTCTCTCTCTCTCTCTCTCTCTCTCTCTCTCCTGAACATAATCCGAAGCCCTAGCCGGGACATGGTAAAAGGGTTTGGGTTTCGAACTTTTCTGGGCTTGCGGTGTACTTGCTGCATCCAGGAAATCCGTTGCCAGCAAGCGGCTTGGCGAACAAAGAACGGAGAGCTACTGGAAGGATGCCTGCTCTGAGGGGGGGGGGGGTGTATTAGGCCTAGGCCTGTAGTTAAGGTCTTAGTGTTGAGCTGTACGATTTGTTGCGGTTTTCTCGGGCTCGAAGTGGGGTGCCTGCCGGTGTCTTCGGCTAGTATAGTGTAGTATAGTAGCACTGGCAGTCAGGGTTGCAGAGCTTGTTGACGCGCATGGGGCCCGGCCACCACAAAACCACCAAAACCAAAATCAAAGTTTTACCATCGAAGCTTCAGGGTCGAGCCAGGAGAGGTGCAAACATGCCGAAAGTGCCGATCTCCGAAGCCCTAGGCTACCACGAGGATGCGGCAAAGGCAGGCAAAGGCCTCTCACGTTTGGCGGCCGGCAGCGTACAAGGCCGCAGGGAAATTTCGAGAAACATGTAACGAGCTCCTTTCGTTAAGGATTAGATCCAGATGGTGGCAGTGAGGTTTGGGATCGATCTTGGGCAAACTGCTGTTTGTTTGAAATTTCTCTTGACGATTCTTGACGAATGAGCCCAGAACTAAGCCGTCGTCATTTCGTGCTCCAGGCATGGCGGTGAACCTGCACAACAATCTCTGGAACACCAACTATGCTTTGCGACTTGCTCGGCAGAAAACATTTGCATGCGGAGATTCGGGGAACCCTTGTATCTTGCATTTATGCCGTCGGAGATGACTTATCGGGTGTCGCGGCGGCATCATTGGGCCAGAAACATGCATAATGGGATGTTTTCTGTAGAAAAGTTGGTCGTCTTGCAGGAGTGAAGTTGTCACACAGGTTCGGGAAATTCATGTCAGGCTGCGGCGCCCTTGGGTTCTGATAACAGACATTGTTGCTGATTCGACAATGCATAGAGTCAACTTCGACTGGCCAAACGGATCTTAGACAACGCATGAGTCACAGCACCAGACGGCTGCAATGACAAGCTTGCTGCTTGCCGCATCACGAGCAGCGAGGCTCCCATGAAGTAGACTTCTCGAGTGGACAGCTGTAAGCAAGAAAGCTCCACATCCTGGGATCGATTTACCCAATTTCCCAGCCAGGCGCTAACTACTCCATTCCCCAAGTTCAGGTTAGCGTCAAATGGACCTCCCCGTCGCGCCCCCGCAAGGTACTATCCCTTCTTCGACCCACGCTTCTGTGCGAGCCCACTACAGTGCAGCAACAGTGGCCCAGCCAACAAGGGAAGGAGGGTTTGCAGTAAACAGGTCCAGCCTGTGCAGTTGTTAAATCCGGGGCATTTCGTTTTTGGCGACCAAGTCGAAACTTGCTCTCTAGTTGCCGAACACTGCGTGAGACGACGTTTTGTTGACGGGGCCTGGGCAGACTGGATCTGGGCTTGGACTTGATGGCCTGAGGCGTTTGCTCATAGGCGGTTACCACCTGCAAGCAAGTTTAGGGTTTAGGGTTTAGGGTTGCTAGACTTGTAGCCTCTGTGAGGACACCGATCATGGAGTCGAGCTCTCATGTCGGCAGAAGCAACATGAGCAGCGCCCTGCCGTACAAGGCAACGCCTTATGGAGATTCCGCTTGAACTTCGTGGCCGATACCATCTACGTGTGAGCTCTGAAGAGGGCCCTGTCGCCATTCGCCCGTTTGATGACGGCATCTCACAAACGCCCATAGTATGAATACCGCCCCCCCCCCCCCCACAAAGATCGAAGCAACGATCCTCAGGTCTGATAGTGCCTCCAAGAGTTAGTTGCAGTATCGAGTTTCCTGAGAGCTTGGTTTCATCCGTGGATATTACTGGCTTCTCTGCACCCGTAAGCCGCAACCAGCTTTCGGCAACATCTTTTCACCTGGACTTTGAAATCCCGGATCCCGGCACCAAAAAGGTCTTAACGCATTAATGAGGTTCTTATGACAAAATGAATGAGACCAGGGCTGCCACGAGCTGACCAGGAGCAAAGAGGAGTTGGACTTAAACTCTTGCATTCTATAAGACACACTTTTGCTTTTCAATGCCTAGAGGAGAGGAGCCAGCAACAGCTCTTGTTCCCAGTTTTGCAATCATCGCGACGGGCATCAGAATTTCGATGATTATTGCTGAGACCTGTCTGCAAGAGGATGTTGAACAAACGGCATCCATCGGGGATACGTCGGGGGAAGTCTCCAAGTACCGGATCCGGGGCTCCAGACCTCCCTACTTGTAGCCGTTTGGGCTCAGGGTTTTAGATTTCTAGAGGGCCTAAAAAAGGGCAAAAGCCCCTGTTTCCATGAGCTTCCAACGGCACGAGGTGCTCGAAAAGAGTGGCTGGTGCCTTGTGAGTCTGCACAGGGGGGGGGGGAATCTCAGCCTAAAGGTGTCGAGCATAACATTTTTCCGAACTACAAATTCTGGAAGTCTGGAAGACCCACTACATCCCCCCACCTGACGCCATTATTCTCCCCGCAGCCTCGGGCAAGGTACGGGCGTTTCAGAGCTAAGGGACACTTGACGGACCCATACTTGGACCGTCAATACCTCTATTTTCTGGAAACCCCCTATGAACTAGGAAAGGCTTGGAGCAGGCGCAATGGTTGCCCGAGGGCACAGGTTTTGCCGAGAGATCTTACGGACCTTAGCGCTACCACAACGCTAGGCTTTCGCGACCTCCATCGATGCAGAGCTTGTTTCCGCTATCCTTGGCCGTGGCCCTAAGATCAGGACTTGTTTTTCATGCTGGTGCTGCTGCTGGTGAAGATGGGGAAGAAGATGGCACGAAGAGAAGGACCAGTTCGATGTAAGGATGATGGTGATGGCAATTAAGTTTAAGTGACTTAAGTGACATGAACGTATATATATATATATATGTGTACATATATATATATATATATATATATGTATGGTATATATACCCAATAATATGTATATGCGTGTGTGTGTGTGTGACTTTGTCTCCAGGGGTTCAACCATTATGTCTTAATTCTCTCCCTCGATCATGACTTTTTCGAAATGTTAAACTGCTTCCTAGTATTGGTGGCAGTAGTAGTAGTAGTAGTAGTAGTAGTAGTAGTAGTAGTGGCAGTCAGCATGCATCACATTCGTTTACTGCACATTTCATAAATGCTTCGTTTGCGTCACAGTCTTCTGAAACAGCTAAAATGG